GAGCCAGGGAGAGAAGACGACGGAAACGTAACGACCGATGTGTGTGTGCTCTTACCGGCACAATATAAAACAAATTACTGCAGGCAGAATGCGAAAATTCTTAATTGTTATAATAGTTATATGCATCGATGTTTGTTGTAAATTGAAGATTGAAATTACTTCAAAGCCAGTAGAAGCGCAAAGTTGAAATGCTTTTAGAGTTCTATAAGTTTTCTGCTAAACCTTTTATTAACAGGATATGCTAGAAAACATTTTTTAAAATATGAAAATATTACTAAAGATTTTTTTATTATACTTGATTAATTTTTGTTAAAATTATAAAAATATATATCAATATATGATAAATTATTGCTATAAATGTATTACCTGATAATTTCGTTTTTTTTTTTTTTTTGTTTTTTTTTTCCTTAAAATATAATTTAAATTAAGTTTTGATTAGATGCAATAGAAAACATGTTCTATAAAGTATAAATACTTTCAATTTAAAATACATAGACACACAATATTATTTTTCATGTAGTTACATAATACAAGTAGTAGCTACAAATAATTGATTTAATCTGAAATTAAATATTATAGCAGAACCTCAACTGAACTTGCATTTTGAAATTTCATAATTTTATCATTGATTTTTTCTCCCCTACTGTCATAAATATTTGCGCTTTCCAATACGAAATTCATATCAAATATTCTATTCAATATCATTTCGCATATGTCATGGCATTGTAAAAATACATGCCGTTAGTGGGAGTACTAGAGGAATCATTCAGGGCAAATCGTGTGCAAATTTTAATTTTACGAGTGCTCGCGGCACGTACTCAAGTTCGACTTTGTTGCGACGTCTGTCATAAACAGCAGTTTATTCAGCAGTTCAGTGTTGCCAGCATATTTATCTTCTCGTTATGCCAGTGGCTCGACCGAATGGAAGGACTGGAGCGGAGGGACTGCCTCAGCAAATTAAGTGGCCATTATTTCTCACGCAACTCGTCCACAGCAGCGTATGCCGAAGTAAACAAGCATAGCCTATAAATGGCTTTAGTTCGATGTTCGATGTTCACTGTTCGCCGCTGTTCACCAGAACCAGAACAGCATTGGAATTGGCATTGCCAGGGAGTTTTCGTCATCATAGTAAATGGCGATGCTGTTGGCGTTTGTTAATCCTGTATTGTTTGCCTTATAAATGCGTTAATTTTATGACAAGTTCATTTTATTGGTTTTTCTTGTTTGCTATCGTTGTGTTCTCGCATTGGTTTTTACAAGCCAAACATTAAACGACAAACAGCAGACAACAGAAAACAGACGACAGTCATCAGGCAAGACAGAAACAACAAAGCGAAATACTCAATTTGATGGTCTGTTAATTGCTTGTTTTAATTGTTGCCTTTATTCTCAGGCCATGGAAGTGCGTATGTGTATGTGCTTTTGTTCTTGTGTGCGTGGCAATAACAATAACTTTAAGCATAATCAAGTTCACAATTGAGTCCACATCCTGCATAGTTTATCATGCAGCACGATGTTTTCTATACTGGTTAGAGCAATTAATTTTAATTGAGAATATCTTTAGACTTAAATGAATTATAAACTATTTGCAGCTGAGCAATCAGTCAACAAATACCTGACAGAATAGACAATTTAACCATAATTGTGTTAAGACATTCTACAAATACAAACCTGTTCTTGCATGCTGCTGACAAAATTATGCTTAAATTTTGCTTATCCATTAATTAATTGTCGTAGAGGTCGGCTGGATAACAGTGCAACAATCAACTTTTAATTAACACACAACTATGATATTTTATTGGCCCCTTCGCAGCTCTGACCTGTCCCGACATGCTCACTTGAGTTTTAATGCAATTGGATTAACTGTTGCTGCAGAAGTTAGTGCAAAGTTTTTCATTAGCTAGTGGGGAGCTGCTTATATTGCGTATACGACATGTATGGCGCACTGAACATAATTAACAGAAATTCGTCTAATTGGCTTGAGCTCGAATGTCCGTAAGTTTTAACTTTGGATTGGCTGCAGCAAGGCTGCCATTAAGCTCACCAATGACCTCATTGGCAGATAAAGACATGTGGCGCAAGTTTATGACAATCGATTGCGACACCTGTGCTGCGCTTCGCCCCGGCAGAGGCCAGCTAGTGGACTCCATTTCACTGCTTTTCCTTGTCTCACTCAGTGGGGCAACACTGCATAACTGCACAGTCAATCATGCATGTGATGTCGCCGCCAGGCAACAACTCTGGTTCCAGCCCCAGCTGCAGTCCCAGCTCTTCTGCCAGCCGCAGCCGCAGTGAGCGACTGCGTTGTCTACTGTCTGGAAATAAGCTCGTTAGTTGCTTGTATTGGCTTTGGCTGCGGCTTGGTGTGATGCGCCCCATCTGCCTCCCATTCCACATTGACTTCGACTTCGACTGCGACTGCGACTGCGACTACGACTGTTACCCCAGCTAGCTGGAACAGCAAAATATGTGCGCAGTGAATGTACTGATGTGCTTGAGCAGTTGCCTGCAGGCTGCTTGGGCGAACTGCATAAATGTCAGCTTGTTTCCAGTTATCGCACGCTTTTTTCTAGCTAGCGAAAAGGCAGCCAAGCGTATTTGACAAAGAGGACGCTATCGAATCGTTCGCTACTTTAAATCACAGAGTCTTTAAGCTTATTTCAATGTCAAACGAAGCAGACAGAGTTTGAGCCACATTAAGGTATTTTAAGTATATCAATATTGACACTGAGCAGGCTTAAATATATTTCAATTGTTGTCATTTCATCATTGAATAACTATTGAGACAACTATTGCTGCTCGCATAGCACTGATGCAGTCACTTGATGCAAACCCCAATCGACTTGATTATTTAAGGCGCTTTATACATTTCTACATTCGAAAAGGATATTAACAATTTGTACAAAATAGAAAAGTGATCCGAATATGCAATATATATTGAGCTTTACTAAAAGCGATGAATAAATTCATCACTAAATTTAAGACTATATGCCTAACTAATATAGAAATTAAATCTTTGCTTTTCATTCTATCAATAATCATGAATAATTATTTGTTACCTTCCCTACAATATGCTGCTCCAGTTGAGAGCACACATCGATAAGTGTAGATTTAATTCGTCTTGCAGAATCTAGCAGTTTTTTCTCCTTATGTCAGTTGGCATACACACACTTACATAGCCACACATACACAGCTAGTGACCGGTCCAAGCGGAGGCGACTCCTACAGCAGTCCCCTGGCCCCACTGCTTGCCGCTGTCATCAATCTTCCTTAATAGATGTTCACACAATTGAATTATTACATGTGTCCAAGTGGCTGGCAACTGACTGGGTGCTGCCTCTCGCATTCCCTCTGGTACCTTTGGCTGCTGGAGCCGCTCGAGCTGCTCGCACTTGACATAGCTCATATGCGTTGGCAACTGCCACAGGACGTGCCCCGCATCGCCTCCTGCAGCTGTCGGACTCACTGTTTGCATGTGTCGGACATTAATGTTGTTTGGAATGGAAACGGAACGAAAACAATTTCTGGATATTATGAGGTTCAGTTAGCAGTAAGTTGTCGCCACAGTCATTTAATATTTTCTTATGATTTTCAAACTGCAAATATTTGCTCTATGTGAGAGTGTCATTACATAATAGTCTCATATTTTGTATTGACTGCTTTAAGAATGACTATTATTTATAGTTTTATTTAGTAGAATATAAATCCAAGTATCTATTTAAAGTATTCAACAATATCATATTCATATTTGCGTTGCAGCTAAATATATTTACTAGTTACTCCGAGAGAAATGTATATACTACATAAAGTAACCTTTTAGCCTTTGTTCTGTAGATTGGCTCAAGGCTATTATGTTCCCTCTGTCAATTAGTTAAAAAATTAGTAATGCATTGCACTACATATATGTTAAGTACGCCTTTTGTTTAACAACTTATTCCCTGAATGCAGCAAGTTTTAATAAGATGAACGCGAGGTCAGAAACAATGCACGCTGCTCTGTGACTGACACACGCTGGCAGAGCAGACAGACGAGGCAGACGCCAGAAACTTTGAAGGCAATGGGATTAAAAGTTTGTCAACTTGTCAACGACTTGGGCAGCAGAACCAGTCCGAAACTCACTTTTGATCATGAAAGATTCGCTGAGGTAAAAAGTGACTACCTGACGTTGAAGCTTAATATAATGAAGAGAGTTGATTAATATTTAAGCTTAAGCATTAAAATAATAAATAACAGGTAAGCCAGTTGCAGTTGGGAGTGCCCCTAGCTGGTAAATATAAACACAGACATGTGTGAGCTTAGTCATTAAAAAGTGTAAACCAATAATAATATTGATTCGTATTCCACTCTGTACAATCCATCATCGCGATGCATCGACAGTACAATCACTTCTCTGTTGCATGCTAAGTGGCTCACACTTCAACCACAATTTAATCGCATTTCAATGCATTCGTGCACCTGTATAGGGAAACTGTGTACGCTTGGCGCTGATAGCCACGTTTTATGGCCACACATTATAGGTTATAGCTTCTGTATTACTTAACAGATTTTAATTAAATCCAAATCAAATTTTTAATGAGCTGCATATTTATTGAATGTGTGGCAATTTAGCTTTAATGGTAAACTCTTTCACATATTGGCTATATATTTTACATTTTTTGTTAAGTTTCTATATAAATATATATTAAATATAATGCAAAATGTTTAGCAATGTAGATTTCAATCTAGAACGAATCTTGATCCGATAATGTATAGAAACAAATTTTCTATTTTCTGAGATCGACGCATTTATTCAATTCGCTAAGTTTTGCTGGTTTGCCATCAAAACTTATTCTCAGGGCATAAGTAGGAGATAAGATAAACTGTAACCTTAGAACTGCATTTATATGTTATCAATGCATTTGCTCAAGTTCGATAAGTACACTGAGTTTTTTTTTTTTTTCATAATTATGGCACTCATATATATTTCAATAGTTTCGTAAGTCATTCACAGCTCTTTGATGCCTATTGCTTCTTAGATAGTCTCACAGGCACACCCCCTTTAGGGAGCAGAGGAACACCGTGAACTGTGAACTCAATTTCACGTTTCTCCTGGCTCTCTACTTTAAAGTTGGTAAGTATTTTCGTTAGTGCAATCTTCACATTCAGCTTGCCCATTCTAGCCGCTGAAATAAATAAATGCAAAATTAGAATCTTATCTATTCGAATCTTATCTTAATGCGCAGCTTACCTATGCACTGACGCGGTCCAACGCCGAAGGGCATGTAAGCGGCAGGTGTGTAGTTTCTGTGCTCCTCAGTGAAGCGTTCCGGCTGGTATCTGAGCGGATCCGGAAAGTATTCCTCGTCACGCTGCATGCCCAGCAGAGAGATGATTATTTCGGTGCCCTTCTTCAGCACCAGATTGCTGTTTGGCAGAGGATAGTCCTGGTTGCACATGCGATTGAGTATCGGCAGAGCGGGATACTTCCGAGTGGTCTCTGTAAAGCGGGCGAATTGATAATGATATCACATTAGATTTGTTCCAGCCACTTACCCATCACACAGAGCTCCAAGTACTTCATATCCTGTATGCTATCATAGTTAAGTTCTCCGTTGTGCTTAGCCAGTGTTTGGTTAATGTCGTCCAGCAGCTTGGCCAAAACATCCGGATTCTGTGCTAGCTCATATAATGTGAACGCAATAGTCGAGGCAGTCGTTTCATAGCCGGCTACAAAGAACAAAAACAACTGTGCCGCTACGTTGTCCTTGGAGAGCGTCTTCACACTATTCACGGTCGCCTCTGCCGACCAGATTCCGTCATCGTTGTTAACCTGGCCAGTGTTGCGCAGCTGTAAGAGCAGCTGCATCAAGTCGCGACGCTCCACATTGGTTTTCTCTCTCAGCATAATCGTGTGGTGCACCAGACTTTGCATGTCTCTCTGTCCCGGTGATCTCCAGCCCAGACGGACGAATAGTTTTTCCAGACTGTAATTCAATGGGATATTTATCAAGCATTCTATAATACAAATATTCGCTTTACCCTGGGTACAAAAAAAGGGTGGTTCCACGCAAAATGTTTTCCGCCTTGTTGTCGGTAACCTTTTTACTAATTCTGCGCAACTCGTTTTCGGGTTCCGTGAAGCTGTCGACATCCAAACCAAGTATAGTGGAGGCAATGATATCAATACCATAGCTGAAAGCAATAGGGGAATGAAGGATCTTCATGAAGCTAAGGTAATGGACAAACAGTTACTTACCATGCCATTAAATTCTTCATATCGATTTCAGATGCGCCTGACTGCTGAAGATTTTTATTTAAATGGGCCACCATTTTGTCGGCAACATCCTCAGATGTGCTGAACATGGCCTTCAGTTTGCCAGATGTGAAGGAAGGAGACATCTTTGTGCGCATTGTTCTCCAACTCTTGCCCTCCATTGAGAAGAGATTGGCCGATAAGGCATCATGCTTCTCGTCAACGTAAATGCCGCGATCATGGAAGCTGGCAAAGTCCTTGACGAGCATATCGTAGGCCAGCTGGGCATCACGCACCAGCAGGGCGGGTCTGAGGGTCAGATAGATGCCTATGAAAGGCTTTTTACTCGATAAGTACATATCGTAGATGGCCAGGCCGAAGGACCGCTTATTCCTGCGCACCGAGTCCAGAGCTCCAAAGGGTATGCTGCCCCGGTTGCAGGGAAAGCCCTTGCGCTCCCAGAAACTGAAGGTCCACTTGAGGTATGTGTACAGCAGTACACCAATAACACCTAACAAATATATTGCAGCACTCATTGTGATAGTGAAACGTACGCCAAGCAGTTTCAACTAAAACTGGCTCTGAAACGAACTGAGACTTTTATATAGCCTCATATGTACGAGTAGCGTCTTATCGTCGATGCTCGTAGCTCGTATCGCCCTTAGCAAACCCTTATCAGTATTTGCCGATGCTTAGATTCCCGAACGTATGATAATGAAATTGAAAAACAAAAATAAAAACAATGAACTTGAAAATGCTCATTGGGACTTGGCGAAAAAGTTCATTTAAAATAACTACGCATATATCCACATATATATAGGCATATATAGGTTATCATTAGTATGCCTGATACTCAGAAGACAGCAATTCATGTGATAGATGCCTGATCTTTCTCTATAAGGCAAACAAATTTGTTCTACAGTTTGATCGTAAGCATGACGGGACAAAATATACAGAATGCCAAAATCAGCATTAGGAAGCATAAATGTATTATTCGCTGATAACGGGCACGCTATAGAGCATGTTCGTTTATTATTCGCACGACCTAATCAATAATACAGCTTCGAACATGTTCGATCAGTCAAGTATGTTCTCTCTAACAGTAGATGATTTGGTGTAGGTCGCGTCAAATAAACAAAAATCTGTTTCTATAAATAAACAATAAATAAACATTTATATTTGCTAATTATTAGCAAGTTTAATACTCATGCGTGAAGTAATATTGGTTATATTGATTTTGTTTTATGGCAAATCGAAAAATATTTATATTCTAAACTGCTATTGATTGATCCCTTTATAAATCACTTATTGGTTATTCCGTCAGTCTAAATATAAAATTTACAAACACAATAAATGCTTAAACAGATAAATGTATATATATGTAGGCAATAAATAATACTTAAATAAATAAAACTACATATGTGGAAGTATTTGTTTAATGCCAAATAACATAAATATACATATTGCATAATTTTATTGGACAGTTTGCATAATTAAAAAATTTATAAAAATAATGCCTAAATAGTCTTAACACAAAAAAAAAAAAATAAATAAATAAATAAAAAAATTAAAAAAAAATAAAAAAAAAAAAATAAATAAATAATAATAACATCATACAATTTATTCAAATCTTAATGGCCTGGGCCTTTATTTCGATATTTAAAAAATTATATGATAGTAATGAAATTGCACAATATGAACTTAATTATGAATATAAAACTAGCTTAAGACCTTGGGCAGTTTTATTTTAACATACCTGCGTCCAAAAGTATTAAATAATCTTAGCTGCATAGACATTGACAGAGAAATAAAATAAAATAAAACAAAACAAAATTCGTAAAAGTATTATTCGCTTTAAATAAAACGATTATTAAGCATCCAAATCGATTTCTGCGTGCGCGTAGAGCACGCGTCATATCCTGTTCTACTTTCGAATTAAAATGAAATTTAAATGGAGCACGCCGCGTCGGTATTTAATATCAATAACGTAATAAATTGACGTAGCGGAGGCGCACGCAGATGCGAAGATGGAGTTGGCGCTATTGCTGGAGTGCTGGTAGCAGGTTCAAGTCCCATACATCAATTTGTGTGCTGAGAGCGAGATGTTGGAAATGCAAATGCGTTTGCAATAAACCATCAATGCCTGTGTGTATGTGTGTCTGTGTATGCACATGTGTATGAGGTAGCCAATAAATCAAAATATGAAACTCTAAAAGCTTTTTCAGGTATTAGCCACAAACTGCGCAAGCTAAACACATTTTGACGCTTTGAAAACCTTTTGAAGCCGTCTTTGTATCGCACCCGGCTCCTGCCCACCCATCAGCGGCCAGAATTCAGCACCCAGCACCCGGCACCCAGCGAAAAATGCGCTTAGTGCTTAGCAGACCAAGAGAAAATGCCGTTGGCAGACGAGCTGCGCTGAGTCCGCGACTCATTATAAATTTGCCAGTTTGCACGTTTCCGCTGCGCGCGCCAAAAAATGTCACAAAGTTTCAACTGGCTGCACACATACAATCGCAATCGCAAGCTCATGCAGATACACACATACATACGTACACATGGCCCGCCTAACCGTTGCGCGGTTATGTTAGGTGCGCCCTAACCGGAGCACAGGACTGGGCCTGGGCCTGGGCCTGGGCCTGTCTCGGTTAGCGTCTCTGTTTCTCCTTGGGCTAAATGTCAGCTTTTGTCTTGGCTCGCACGCCAAAAAGTATGCTGAAACAATGTCAAGCATAATTTGCATACAATTTTTGCTCTGTCCCGTGCACTGTGCTTCCCCGCTCGGCTGCTGTTGTTGTTGCTGCTGTTGTTGTTGGTTTCTGCTGTTTCTGTTCTGTTGCCTTTGCCGGTGGTCATTATGTTTGCCGGCCGTGTCAGGCACGCACAGACACTCACTCACGCTCGCTCAAAATGCTCTTTTGACACTAATTTAATTTACGTCACTTCATCTCTGTTGGACCAGCCCAGACGAGACCAGGCCACGCCAACCCCCCGCCTGCCCGGCCCGGCCGATAAAGTAAAGTAGGTTGCTTTAAATGTTTTGCAATTGTATTTGCCTTGCCACAGTACTAAGCGAACTGAAATCTCCCGCACCCAAAAGCCATACACAAAATACGATATCTAATTATACCACAAGACTGCAGAAAAAACGGAATCTCTTACAGTTTGAAAGCTGCAATCAAAAAGTTGGCCAGAGAGGTTAATGTTGACATCCACTAATCAAACTTCGATCAAAGCTATTTAATCTTAAATGTCTGATATTAAATTATAATCTTATGGTATTTTTTAGGTCTTATGCTTTTAATTCCATTTAAATGCAACTCCTGTACTTGCTCTTCTTTTAAGTTTGTTTACTCATTCTTTGTCCACTTTTGCTTTGCCTGGATTGCATTCCTTTGCATATCCGTTCAACCTTTTCGCAGTCGTCCCCTGGCTGGACCTCATTCCGCCGCATCTATTTCTCCATATCATGTCTCCCTTATTCATTCTATAGCAACGTCTTACTCACTTTCTCTGCCACCTTTTTCACAGCAGTCAGTTTCATGTTCTGAAACTCATTCTTAATCCTTGAAGTCAAACTGGATTTCACTTAAATTGTCAGCTGAATGAATTAGCTTTTTGTGTGACGCACAGCTTTATTGCAACATTTTATGAATTGCACAGCGAGTTCATAGTTTTAATTGCCTTTATATGTGAGCACATATAAAAATCAAAAGGGCATATGTAACTTTGTAGTCATTTGTCACACAAAGTGCAGCACTTAACAGCTGGCACATAAATTACCCGTTGCCGTTGAACATTTCAACGGAATATAACGGCATCACTTTTACAAATTAACACACCCGCTTGCCCGGCTAATTGTAATTAATAATACAGTGTGGCAGGCAGTGCACCTGACGATGCCACGCCCCTCAGCCAGCGCACACTCACACACATACACACACACACGCTCAAATCTCCCTCATCAAACGCATACCCATGCGCTGCAATTAATTAACGCAACATATTCAACTTGCAACATTTAACGATGATGACCACTTCCGCTCATTAACCAGTTGAAAAATTAACATGCGGTCATAATTTATGTATGAGCCGTTATATAAATAACAATATAGTAATAGGGGGCGTAACTGACGGGCAAACGGGAGATAACCCTAGCTCAACTCTAAATTGGATTACCATATACACTCACTTTATTTTACCATATACAAAGTTGCATGTAACGACATGAAGATGTCACAGAAGATGAAATATGCACACAGAGCAAACGTGGAAGCCATTTACATTTTACTTATTATATATTTTATCGTCATTATGCAAGTTTATTCGCACTTTGAGGACTTAGCACAAAGTCCTGGAGCTGGGATGCAGCGCTTGCAAATCTCAAGACTAACTGTAATTAGTCCAAGCCATGTTCATGATATGATAAATCCAGAGTCAACTTCAAAAGTAAAAATTTGACCTACCAAATGAAAACTTTCCTAGCAGGCTAAAAGAACTGCAGCCTCTGGATTTGTCCTTCAAGCCTCTTCCCAACTGGTCAAGTTGCATCGATCTCCTCGGTTTCAGCAGAGGACGATTGAAGACCCCACCCAATAAACCCTACTGCGGCTTTTCACTTTGATTGTCTTTTTTAATGCCACGTATATTATACTTGTCACTATATTTAATTATTGTACAAATGGACAGATTTTAAATACAGTTATGCAACAAAAAATAAGTATATTTTATTATATGTGTATATATA